CTTAAAGTCATTGTGTGTTTTATGTTTGAAACAAACATTGTCTTATCATCCAACTTATTACACGCTACTCAAAGGTCATGTTTTATGCACAGAAGGGAAAGCTCTCCTGTTGTGACTGAGGAAGAACAAACTGGATGGTCACTAAAAACAAGGGCTTTAGCCCCAGAGATTGAGTCTCAGTGGCTGTTTGAAAAGGGTAAACCAGGGCTCAGCTGCTACAAGCTACTGGGTAGCCATGGAGCTAGACTCTCATGCCAACCATGTATCTGGTCCCTTCACACCTTCTAATCTTTAGCAGCTCCTGGTTCCTCCCTCCATGTGTCCTTCACCTCCACATGTCTCATGGCACCATAGGCCTTTCATCCAAAATGCCTAAATTGAGGCAGAGCTATTTAAGCCGCAGGAAATGCTGACATGGGGAAAACTAAGCTTAATTAAGTCCAAAAAATATATAGTCCAGTTGGAAAGATACAGAGCAGAACAAGTTCCAAAGAGGTGGGATTACTGCTGTGCTAAAATGACACAACCTAGGCAACTGATGGGGAATGTACAAGTGATGTATGTTGCTACAGGGCAATGGAGAAAATACACCATCCAGTTTGATAATTAAGGACCAAAACTGACTCTAATGAGTGGTAAATTCAAAGCAAGAAAAGGAGATATAGACCTCCTTGCTCCTCGGCTGTGGATGTTCAACATTTTCCTGTGTTTTCTTATAGTTTACTTCATTTTGTGTAAACTTAATAGGCCATTAAGGGCTGTTAACACCTCCAGAAGTCCCTGCAACCCTAACAGCTGGAGGTGGAAAGAACATTCTGAAAACCCGCTGCTATAAGATTACTTTGCTTTTGTAAAAGTCTTCCCTAGGTCCTCTGTTACACCTTGGATAAGAGATAGCTGGGCTAGAGGATCCTTGGATCTAACCAAGTGCAAATCTGCTCATGACATTAAGCAACCACTACCCATTTGAAAGGTTGGGGAATGGTCTCTCAGTGTGAACAAAGGAGGAAAAACAGAAAACTAATTTTAAAATGAGGCTTATCAAACCTCCAAAGTAGAATATAAGAAGCTGACCACACAAGGAGGTCATAGCCTCAGTGACCTAGAACATACCTTATAGTCCTAGGAGAGGGCCAAGAGCTGGGGCTAGGGACTAATATTCACCTCACAATGAACTCTGCTGGTTGATAT